ATAAAAAAAGAGTTATGAGTGGTCACTGGTGTAATCATGAGGGCGCTAAAACCAATTATGAGAATATATCATTATATAAATATCATTGGTTTAAAGAAACATTTTATAATAAATTGATAATTAAAAGAAAGGTTTATTCGTAAATAGTGTAACCGAGTAACTTACAGTTTTGGTCCATGTGATGATTTTATAAAGAACAACATGCAAAGATGTTGTTGGATACCTCTATCTTTAAGAGCAATCGAGCTCTCCAAATGAAGTAAACTAGTTTTAAGGGATCGTGATTGATCCAAGGATAGAAGTGCATGATCCACTTGTTATCTTGGAATCAGGAGAATCCGAGGGTGTAAAGTCATTATTCTCAAGTGTGATTTGTTGAAGCTCAAGATTTTTTGACAAGCTGCGGGGTAACGTTTCCAACTCCAAGAGGGACCATCAGAAGTGAAATTTTCTGAAATAAAACATTTTTTCAAGAGAATAAAGAGAGGGAAACGAACTTCAAATGACATGTTGCCTTTCCATATATACGTCCTTCCATAATAGAATGCTTTATCTAGAGCCAGCACAACAGGAAAAAAGAGAATTAAAAATCAGCCACAAGTCTTCAATACCAGCCTGCAGACACTGTTCCACACGCCCTTGAATGATCTTTTTGACAGTTAAGAAAGAGGTTTCTGAGGGTATTATGGATACCTTCTATAACCAAACTCCACAAGGACATCTTGTAGTAAATATCCTAAAAATGCATTGCGAGATATAACAATTTATACATTACGTATTGAATCCAACACGAAATAATGTACAACCTAACGCCAAGGTCCTACCACTTATTATTTGTATAAAATTTGGATGTTTTGTTATTCAAAATGAATTATTATGTGTATTTCGTTAAAATTCATTCCAAACACGAACATATAATGATTAAATACAATCTTGATTTTCAAACATATGTATTCAAATGTTAGTTTAAATAAGATTTATCCAAACATAATAGGGTAAATGACACAAAAAACACTTTTTTTACATAGAAATTCGATTTTGACACCGTGTTTTTTTTTGTGTCAATTTTAACACTGTGTTTTCCAATTTGTTACAATTCTGAGCACTTGACCGGTTAACCAGGTTACATGCTGACGTGGCATGCTGACATGATATGCTGACGTGTCAAAATTGATTTTTTTTTTCCACAAAAAACACTAAGTTTTCACTTTTTTTTTATTTTGACACTAAGTTTAATTTTTTATTTCAATTTTGACACTATGTTTTTTTTGCTCCAATCGAACATCATTTATCAAATTTTGTTCAATTTTGTCTATTTTCCATTTGAAACCGTATAAATATATTTTTTTATTACATATTAAACCGTATAAACATATTTTTTTCGTTTAAAAACCACATTTTTATTTAAATACAAGGTGTTTTTTTTTCTTACATTCAAAGCATTAGTTATATTATGAGAATCAAACTAACCATAAACTTCTAATAAGATGTAAAAATTTGATGGGTTGCAAACTTGATATCCGAGTTCTGATCGACTACACGCCTCCAAACTTCTAAACTTGGACAACATTGAACAAAATTGGAAAAAATGATGTTCGATTTGGAACAAAAAAACATAGTGTCAAAGTTGAAAGAAAAAATTAAACTTAGTGTCAAAATCGAAAAAAAATGAAAACTTAGTGTTTTTTGTGAGAAAACAAAATCAATTTTGACACGTCAGCATATCATGTCAGCATGCCACGTCATCAAAACTGACACGTTATCATGCCACGTCAGCATGTAAACTGGTTAACCGGTCAAGTGGTCAGAATTGTAACAAATTGGAAAACACAGTGTCAAATTTGACACAAAAAAACACGGTGTCAAAATCGAATTTCTGTGTAAAAAGTGTGTTTTTTGTGTCATTTACCCAACATAATATAATAGTACATAAGTAGTGAAGCATATGTACCGATTATGTCCATATATTTTCTCAAAACCAAATATAAAATCCATTGATTACATTAAGGTGGCGACTCTCCAAGAAATAAGATCAGTTTTTGATTTTCGGCATAGTTACACTTAAACTGAATGTCATATGATGGATAACGCAATAGATATCGGGTCTCTAAAAGACAAAAATAGTATAACAAATGTAATTAGTGCACAACATAATTTGAAAGTTTGTCATTGTCTAGAGATTAACGGATCTAGTAACGAATAATTACTCAAGACATAGAGTCATATGGTTGTTTTAACAAGAAAGTTTTTTTTGAAAGTCTTAACAAGTTGTCAAATAATCCCTTTAAAAGCTGTCTGTATTAAAAATCCTAAAAGATATAGATTATTTGATTTCAACTGCGTAATTTGTTGGATAAAGCAAATGAGAGCTTAAATACAAAGGTGACTGAAATGAATTTTTTTTATAAATAAAATAAAACCGATGTAGTTATGGCTTCTAGCTCAACGGTATCTGGTGTAGCCCTCCCTCTTTGAGATTTAAGGTTCAAATCCCGTCGTAGACATATGTGAATTTAAGGTGTAGTTTAGAAGTAGATTAGATTACCGTTTAAAAAATAAATCAACTTTATCTTATTTTTTCAATGAAAGCCACTCATTGTTTAAAAACAATTCATCAATGACCCCCGTTTTCAGTAATGGTGTGTTCAAATTGATATTGTTTCTCATTAACTTACATAACATTATATATGTAATTCATAAAATAACATTTAACTTTCTCTGAAATAATTCTTATTTTCCTGTATGATATGTGTATAAAAAAATAAGAATCAATTTCAAAAAGCATGATATTATAGACGTGTTTGGCACGGAGCTTTTGGAAGCGTTTGTGAGCTTCTAGCTTTTAACTTTTGACGAAACGCTATAGTTTAAACAAAAAACTTCGTTTGGCAGTACGAGCGTTTAACTTTTAGTTCAAACAAAACGCTCCAATTCTAAAAGCTACTTCATGTAGCGTTTAACAAAACGCTACTGAGCTTTTGAAATCAATTTCCATAATTACCCTTAAAAATATATTTATATATTTATTTATTTTTAATCAATTGTCCTTTTATGTAATTTTATATTTTTCAAAATCTTCCAGCTACTTTTGACAAACATTCATATAACAAATAAAAGTTACAGCTTCCCGCTACCAGCTACCCGCTACACGTTATCAGCTACCCGCTACCAGCTAACCGCTACCCGCTTCCAGCTAACAGCTACTTTTGCCAAACACGCCCGATATATTGTCGATAAAATAATAACTATATTAATTTAGCACATGTTAAACATGAAATAGAAGCTTACTCTAATCACAGTGAAATATTATTTCAGAATTATGTGATTTTCATATTAAATATAATAACTAAATCGTAAAAAATCAAAATTTTAATGATTTTTATGTACATCATCCAAAAAATAATACTAAAATGGGTGAACTAAATGTAAAATAAAACTGTTCTATGAGTTTCAAAAGTTTATGAAACACCCATATAAATTATCACTAATCTCCATGAAATATTCCCACAAGCCCATAATGCATCAAAATTCAATGTCCCCAATTGAGGACTACCCCAGAAAATTGTGCCGTTATATAAAATAGCTGGCAGTCCTTGCCCTGCCCTGCCCCCAATTAGGACACTCCGCCGTTCCCGAGGCGCGTGATATCCACGATCTCCACATAGATAATGTAGCAGCCAGCCAGCCTGACTCAGTGGTCCCTCTTATAATAATTTTGAACTGAACCCCCTCAATTATTGCATATGTCCAAACTCACCCATGATTCAGAAAGCTATAACTCGGGTCAAAATTTTGGCAATATGTAAGAAATGTCAATTTTCGGGGTTACATATTCATTTTATCTTATTTAGTGTACTTTATCGGTAAAAATACTAAAATAGATATCAAAACATGTCATTGGATTCTACTTTTTCTATTTACATATTATATACATACATTAAAAATCATTCAAATATAAAAATGGTTAGTTTAATGTTTAGATCTTTGAAACTATATAAAATACATCATTTATGTATGATTTTAATCATTCGATTAAAATATGTGGTTTATCTAAAGTAAAAATAATTTTGTTAAAACATGTGATGACAATCTCTTTCATCACATTTATGTTGATGTTGGAAAATCAATTACGTAGTTTATCATATTTATCAAGAAAATTCAAAGTATAAATAAAACAAATAGAAAGTTTTTTTGACGGTTATTTTGGTCTACACATGTATAATTGATAAAGCCCATATCAACAATAAATAGAAAAAAAAATTAGACATCTAGAATTTGATACAAAATATAAATATGAATGTGATATGTATCTTTTTTTTCTTCAGATAATCAAGTAATAATCAAGTAAGTTATATGTCGCGGCTATCATGGATCATTATTACCATCTTGCTTTCTTTTATTGATCATTCCAAACTTTGATTAAAAACATTGACTAAGCACATAGTTTTAATTAAGGACCTTGAATAAGCACACAACTACACGAGCAATATTGGTTTGACAATGACATTACACATTCTATGTATTGCCAATATTAGAAAATAACATAAATGTAATAATCATTAACAACATGCTATAAACTTAAAGTAGACATGATGAAAAATTGGATCTTATGTTAAATCTCAAGAAAAAGAACCTTAAAGACTTGACAAAATTATCAATTTGATGAAAATGTTGTTTTTTTGGTTATATGAAAGGAAGCTATGACTATGTGAAATTAGTATCAATTTCTCATAGGGACCAAAAGCATATATCCCTCGAATGTTAAGGGTTAAATTGTTATTTCACTTTTTAGTCCCTAGATGCATCGCTGTTCCTAGTTCTGACTGTCAAAAAGCATATCCCACATACCAATGGCTGACTTGGCCATCCCTCTTTGCCAGCTCATCTTCCATCTTCCCCAAGAAGAAACAGAGTATCCCCCCCCCCCCCCCCCCCCCCAACCCCACCCCTCTCTTCTTTTTATCTACTCAACCCATAAAACCCCCTCACCTTTCTTCTATCTCCTACAAATTTCTTCCCTTTTTTTTCTCTCTACAAACTTACACAGCACAAAAATGGTGCACTATCAGAGATATATTCAACTTAGAAAAGTAGTTAATGTCACTTATGTTGATGAAGAAGATGCATGTGTTAACATGAGTGCGTGTAACAAGAGATCAAAGCCTAAACTTCTCTTCTTCCTCCTCTTCTGCACACTTCTTTCTTCGTGTTTGCTTCTTTCCCCTCACCTCCTTCCTTTCCCCACGTCACCACTCTCTCTCATCTGTAAGTTTTCTATCCATCTCTCTCCTCTGTTTTTCAGTTAAAGTTCGCTTCTGTTTTGCTGTTTCTTATCAGATTCTGTTTCTTTTTGCGTTTTGCAGATCCAGCTGGAGCTGAAGACGAAACACTTTCTGTTTCAAAAACTTCCCCTTGTTCTTCGGTCTCAAATGGTGAGTGAGTTCTTGATTTTGTGGGTATTTGTGTTTGAGACGTAAATTTGATGAAACAGTGAAAAGTTTCGATTTCTAATGTTTTTCTCGGGGTTTGATTTACAGGAACCATATGTTGTGATAGGAGTAGCATTCGATCGGATGTGTGTGTAATGAAAGGTGATATTAGAACACATTCTTCATCCTTCTCCGTGTTCCTCTACACATCCAAGAACTCCGGTGCCGGTGAACAGAGCTTGCGGCAAGAAAAAATCAGACCCTACACTCGAAAATGGGAGCCATCCACCATGGCCACCATCGATGAACTTACCCTTATCGACAAGAAACCGAATAGTTCAGTCTCCGATGATCGACACAAGTGCGATGTATATCACGACGTTCCCGCGGTGTTCTTCTCCACCGGAGGATACACCGGTAACGTTTATCATGAATTCAACGATGGATTGATTCCGCTTTACATTACGTCTCAGAAATACAACAAGAAAGTTGTGTTTGTGATTCTAGAGTATCATGATTGGTGGATAACGAAATACGAAAATCTCCTCAAACATCTTTCCGATTTCGAACCAATCGATTTCAGCGGAGATAAGAGAACTCACTGTTTCTCCGACGCCATTGTTGGGTTGAATATTCACAATGAACTCGCTGTCGATTCATCTTTAATGGATGGTGGCAAAACGATCAAAGATTTTCGTGACATTTTGGACAAAGGGTATCGTCCTCGAATTCAGGGTTTAATCTTTGAAGAAGAACACGAAAAATCACAACTGAACAAACGAATTAAACCCATACGCCAACAACCGGAGAAACCAAAGCTCGTGATCATATCAAGAAACGGATCACGAGAGATACTGAACGAAAACTTATTAGTGAAAATGGCATCAAAGATCGGATTCTCAGTGACAGTGGTGAAACCACAGAGGACTTCCGAATTAGCAAAGATTTATCGGGAACTTAACTCCAGCGATGTCATGATCGGCGTTCATGGAGCTGCGATGACACATTTCCTGTTCATGAAGCCGGGATCGGTGTTCATTCAGGTGGTACCTCTGGGTACAAACTGGGCGGCGGAGACATACTACGGCGAACCGGCGAAGAAGCTTGGGTTGAGATACATCGGGTATGAAATCCTTCCACGTGAAAGCTCGTTATACGATGAATATGAAAGTGATGATCCTGTTCTAAGTGATCCAAATAGTGTGAATGATCGAGGTTGGGAATTCACAAAAAAGATTTATCTTGATCGGCAGAAAGTGAGGTTGAATCTTGTAAGATTTAGAAAGCGTTTGATTCGATCGTATATTTATACGATGACGAAAAAGAACACCAACGACATGGTTCGATCACAGTGAAATCGTTAACGATTTGGGAAATTTAGATTAGAAACGGGAATGGTTGTATAAATTTAGCAGATTGAATGTATATGATACGTAGTAGATAAAAATGTATTTTTATTTTCCATATTTTTTTATTATATACTCAAATAAAAAGATTTATTCGTAATATTATTCTATTAAATTTTTGGGTAACCTTTTCAAAGAGTGGAAAAATGTTGATCTCTCCTAAATGGTTTTTATTGAAGGATTAATAATTTAAATGGGTAACCAATTTTGTTTTTTATTTGTGTTTATCAACAATGTTTTTTTATACATGTTTTTAAATTTGTTTTATCTATCTAAACAGAGATAATATTATCTAATTTTAAACAGATAAAACAACATGAACGATAAAATTTATAAATAAAAAAGAAAACATTTTTATGAACCGAAAACCAAGCTTGTTATTTTTTACATCATTATCTATTTATTAAATAACCCTGTCAAACCCATATGTGTAATCCGGAAAAAGGTGAGGTTATAAATTATGCATTTGAAGTTCTACTACATGGGCATTTTGGGGAATCTTGTTTTTGTCGATGAAACAAACAATTTGTTTTGGTGAAAGGAGGTTTGAGATGATAAAAAAACGGGCGTTTGCTGGATTTGTGAACGTTGTCTCACTTTACTACTCTGCATGGATGGACTTTTCACAGCTTTTACTAATGTGGTCATATTCTATCACCAAAGGGGCAATTTGATGGAGTTGTACAGCTTTTGTTCAGAACACAACTTTTTCACCTTGAAAAAGGTTTTGTGGGTTTGGGAAAATATGATTAAACATAAGGGCTAATCATTAGAAATTTGGAATAATAGCATTCATCTAAATTAGCCAATATTGATATACCTTTTGTCATAAAATAACAATATTTGGCCTAAAACAAAATTGGGGGTCTTACTAAGAATTGAGTTTTTAACACTTATTTTATGTTAGGAAATTATAAAGGTATAATAATAAGTTGGCTAATAATTACCGTTCTTTACAGTCTTTTACCAATCAAAGATCCGAAATTCGATGTTGGTTTTAAGTTGCCGTTATGTTATTTTAATTTGTCCAACAACACGGGAGAGTCTTCTTTCTCCATTTTTATACTCAGATCTGATCACGAAAGATCGGTCTAGTTTCTGAACGAAACTTAGTAACTATAATAATAAGTATTGAATTTATTATTCACAATTAATCAACATATAATTTTCAATATTATTTGTCGGTGTGATTGCTTGTTTTTGTTTTTCTAGTATGAAATATGACATTTTATTATATCATATAATTAGGTTTCCTATTGGGAATTGAAATTGCCACTTTTAATATGAAATTGCCAATTTTGTATAAAATATGTGTAAGCTTCATCGTTTTTCATAGAAACCCAAATCTAATATTTTATCTCTTTTGATTAGGGTCGTAAAAGATATAGTAATAGAACATATAAGAGCACCGATACAAGTAAGGAGTTGCAAAAACCTCGTATACGAAGAAATGTAACTATCGTTGTAAAGATGATAAATATAATTGTTCAAACTGAAACCCATTCCATGATGTTAATCCATATCGTAAGAACTTTTATCCCGGTGGACAATTTCTGTCAATGATTTTTTAATAGCAGGATGATATTAGAAGAAAAAAACTAATAACATGTTTAATATTACATAGAATAAGAAATCAAAAAAGTAAAAAAGAAAATAAACTTAATTTCACAATTTCACAAATTATTTTTCTTCTGCAAGTCTGCAACACAAGATTTTAAGTTAATAAAATAATTTAATAATAATATGTAGATGGTAAGACAATGAAATGACTGGAAACTTGGAATCACAAGCAAAAGCAATATAGTACACTCCATACTCTTTTCACAATTATAAGCAGCATCGATAGAGATATACCATTTTATATTTTATTAAAGATTTAAATTAGTTTCGATAGAGATATACCATTTTATATTTTATTAAAGATTTAAATTAGTTTCAGGTTAAAATACCATGTATTTAGAGCATTTCTAATGGTTAATTGTTAGTACTATAAGTCAAAATAAATGAGGGATAATGACTTGAAAGGGTAATGGACTTTCGATTTTGTTCATATTTAATCACTAAACTTTTTTTCATTATCTATTTGCCACTGAACTATTAAAATTGATCATATTTTATCCTTATGACCGGTAACTATAAGGGTAAAATATGAACATTTTCAATACTTCAATGAGAAATAGATAATAAAAAAAAATTAGTGACTAAACGTGAACAAAAATGAAAGTTTGTTTCCCTCTCAAATTATCCTAATATTATACCCCGGAAAAGATATAAAAAAACGAAAAACGAAACCAATGTTATATGGATAAGTTTTATGTTATAAAACTATGCAATATAATATGTATAAAAATTATCCTAATATTATATGTATGAATTTTGTGTTATAAAATTATGTAATATATAAATTGACATACATTAAACCATATATGTTGTTTATAAAAGAATGCATACATACATTGATACATTATATATGTTGTTATACTCCATGTATTGACATACATCATATTAGTATATTTACTATTAAAAAAGATATCGAAATTTTCATATTACACACAACATACATTTAGAAGTATTTTTAATATTATTATTCTTTTTAATTTTTCTTATGTAACTTGTGTTAACATATACATACATATAGTTGAAAACATACATACGCTCAAATATATAGATACATAAATGGTTCATTTTTAACGATTGTATTTTAAAAATAAAATGGTATAGTATTAATCTGTCTATGAGTTTAAAGAATCTTATTTTCATCAAAGAAGAAAAAACGATAAAGAACAATATGATATTTTTTTATTTTAAACATACACAAAATAGTTTTTCTTAACCAGTTTTGTAAAGGAAACACAGAGTCAAATATAAACTGAAACTACCCAACTAACTAACCAACAACATCTGAGAGAGGAAAAGAAATTGATTCTTTAATGAAACTAAGCAGCAACATCAATTTTAAATCTATTATCAATAACTATTGGATTTACATTAATGATGTCGTTTTCATAAAGATTTCAAGCTAACATGTAATAACTCAAATATGAAGTTGAGCATCGATATTCAGATAGAATCAAAACACCATATTGGTAGCCAATAATGTTAGATTAGGTGCCTAAGGTCTAAACTAAATTGATATAACTTTATAAACTAAAAACAAAATACTTTTTGAGTAGCCCTTAATAACTAGAAATAGTTAGGAACAACTTAAAAACTTGATGAAATAATTCATTTTTTATACCTTTTTCGGGGTATAACATTAGGATAGTTTGTGAGGGAAACGAACTTTTAACTTTGTTCAAATTTAGTCACTAAACTTTTTTTTATTATCTATTTGCCACTAAACTATTGAAACTGTTCACATTTTACCCTTATGACCGGTTGTTACCGGTCATAAGGGTAAAATGTGAACAGTTTCAATAGTTCAGTGGCAAATAGATAATGAAAAAAAGTTAAGTGACTAAATGTGAACAAAGTCAAAAGTTCATTACTCTTTCAAGTCATTATCCCAATAAATGACACATCATGACTCTTTTAACTATGACCCCAAATTAAATAGAAACTCCAATGGTTAACTTTTTCTATAGTTTTTTTTTCATAAATTTAACTAATTTTATCCTATGAAATTAAAATATTTTATAAAATCTTCTCATATATATTAACATTATTGTAGAGATTAGTATATTTTTATTAGAATTTATTATGATTTGTAATATACATATATATTATACTTGTCATGTATCATATTTAATAGAATAAATAAATATTAGAAAAATAAAATATATTCAAGACTTTGATATAGTTAAAAGGGTAATATGACATTATTGAAGACAAAGCAGTTATATGTTCAAACCAATATAGTATATTGATCACTTAATATATATTGAGTGGTTAATAAAAAAAACCAAATAAGTTATACATTTCAATGGGGTTGAGTGTTTATTTAAAATAAGTGAATAGTAATAAGTCATAAAAAACCCATCGAAGATGCTTGTATTAGAAGAAAGTCAAGTGAGTGGAAAAAGGTGGAAAGATCGAGTGAGTGTGTGAGAGATTAAAAGTGAGAAAAACGGAGGAAAGGTTGTCAATACGAATGGTGATCTAGATGCCGAGAGGAGAACCTTAGCGAGGGACACAACCCTTTGTTTTTTAGCCAAATAAGAACTACACTATCCTTTTAGATCTCCACACGAGTTAGAGAAATTAATAGTCAGTTTATGAAAACACTTTTCTTCTAGTTCATCTTCTTAAGTATTAATGAAACTCATTAAACAATTAAGAAGAAACAGATCTATTTGTTGTATTGTGGTCGGAAACTAAAATCAATGATCGTAGAAGGCTAGGGATGGAATGAACTGTATAATGATAGGATTAGAGCTAAGCCAAAATTAAGGAAAAAGAGAATGACATTCATGATTGTTTTCTCTTTGCTGTTATGAATAAGGCGCAAGCCGAGGTGAAGGAGAGTAAGATGCAATAGTTGGTTTTCTTGAAACTTAATGAATATGTAGAGGCAATATAACTATATAAGATGTTACACAAGCATGAAATTCTAAAGGTGTGTCGGAGGATATTGAGTAGGGTGATGGTAGATAACCAGATTTCTCTTGGATCGTGTAAGTTCACTTTTTGAACTGATATTTGCACCTTATGTCCGTGTTACAGGAAATCCAACCTAGGATAATCCAAAAAGACACTTGTGTATCTACTCACAAAAGCATAAGTCAAATCGCCAGAAGGTTCTGAGTTTGTGTAGAAGAATAAGAGCTGAGAAAAGTATATCATGGCTTAATTAAGGAGCCGTATTTATCATAGACAGGTTAGGGTTTTAGTCTTCTAGATTAGTTAGGAGAATCACGAATTTAATGGCATAATCAGTTGTTACGAAAATTGATAGGATTTATCAATTTTACCATAATCAAGGTTTTTCGTCTTCTATATTAGTTAGGACCACCGTCAGGGGCTCTGCCCCTTAGACCCCGCTAGGGTCGCTGCCCCTAGGACCCTGCAAGGGGGCGCGACCTCCTTGACCCCTGCCTT